ATGCATAGACTCCTGCAACATTTACAGGAAAAGGATGGGCTGTGAACAGCACCAAGGTTCAGGGACCTGGTTTGTCTGTAAAATTCTTGGGGGTTTTCTGGTTGGGTAAGACTAAAGTTATCCCAGAATCAGTCATAGATAAAGTCCAGGTCTCCCCTATCCATACAACTTTGGCATTTTTACAAGATGTTTTGGGTCTTTTAGGCACTTGGAGAGTGTTTATCCTGCAGTTACGTACCTGTTGGCAATGAGCCATTTTTGTCAGTGTTACTATATAAAGAGCTCTGTCTAGTACTCTTTCCTGAGGCAGAGATTGAGACGGATTATGAACACCCCATAGGCAGACGTAATTCCAGCACTTGACCCGCTACCATGAGAATAAAGCTTGGTACAAACCCTTTTACCCCTAATGTTCTGTTGTATTTGGTCTCACAATGGAGAGTGAACTTGCCAGGGGGCACTCCCCCTCAGGCAAGACACATGTATTTGATGCTTACTGGCTTACAGTATGAATGCAGAAGAGGTAGCAGAACTTTTTTTTACCCCCTCAAACTTCTTGACGACCTCCAATATCCTTAATCTCATCTAATGACCCTGTCTCCTATTTTATTGAAAAGGGACCATAAGAGGATTTTCCACAAGCTGCTGCTACATACATACCTACCAACCTGTCTAAACCTGTGCCTATTTATTCTGCCTTCTGTCCTGTTGCTTTAACTGAACTGCCAATGGTTCTAGCAAAGGTCAGCCCCCCCACTTAGTATGCATCTCCTTTGGCCTACTTAGTTCTCATTGCTCTAGATCATCCCTCCTGCTTCTACATTGTCAGTGTTTTCCTTTCTTTTGTATCATTTCAACTAGCATATGATCCTGTTGTTTACTCAGTCTAAAATCTGTCCACACTGGACCCTACTTTCTTTAGCTATCACTGTGTGTCTCCTTTCCTTTAAATTAAAATTCCTTGAAAGTGGTGTCTATATGCACTATCTCTAATTTCTGCCCTCCTAATCTTTTTTAGTATATGTGCTTCCAAAGTAAGCACTTCCTAATATTTTTTGAACCCACTTTTGTCAGGCTTTTGCCCTCACTATATCAACAAAACTGCTCTTGTTTATGTTGTCAGTGATCTGCATATTGCTAAATCCAATGATCAGTTTCCAGTCCTCATCTTATTTTCAATTGCACTTGACAAAGTGGATCAATTGCTCTTCCTTGAAATAATACATAATTCATTTGGCTTCCAAGATACCATACTTTTCTGGTTTTACTTAATACCTCACTGGTTACTTTTCAGTGTCCTTTACTGGTTCCTCCTCAATTTCTTGACCTCTAAATGTTGGTTTACAACAAAGTTTGAGATTGCATCAAGGATCATGTCTTACCATGTCTCTTCAGGGAGACCACTTCTGGTGAATTCCAGACATCGGTATTTAAATGCCAACTCAGCATATCCATGTGGCTATCGAAGAATATCTCACACTTAACTGCCTAACATCAAAACTGTTGTCTTCCGTTCAACCAAACTTGTTCATTTAATTGTCCCAGTTTAGTTCAACTAGTTATCTTTCTACATCGTGGTACTCAGAATTGATACCTTTCTTTCACAACTCACACTCTAAACATCAGAAAATTTTGTTGACTCTGCCTTCAGAATATATCCAAAAATCTTAACACTTTTCACCACTGTGCTGTTTCTGCCTGGAACCAAGGCAGTGTTAATTTCTGGTCTGGATTATAGTAGTAGGCTCCCAAAAAATCTTGCTCTGATTCAGTTTTTTTTTTTTTTTATCAACACAAAAGCCAGACTGATCTGTTTAATAACGTGAGTGAGGTTATATCAGGCTTATACTCAAGACCCTCCAGTGTATTATTATATCAGTCATGGTTAAAGCCAAGGTCTTTACGGTGGAAGCTAAGGCATGTGTGATCTGCATTCTGACCCCACACAATTCGATTCAGCCTCTGCTCATTCAGCTGTAGCTTGCTTATTCAGTTTCTTGCTCTTGGAATACATCAAGCATATGTAAATACAGGGTCTTAAACATTTTAACAACTGAGCTTGAAACTGCACTGCTTCTTCAGGTAAGCAGAAACAGTAGGGGTGTGTATAGTTTATGCAAAGTAATAGAAAGGCAGAAGAAAAGCACATAGGTGTTTGTGGTAAAAATATTGTTGGAGAATGAGGAATTCTGATTTTGCATCTCTTAGTGAAGCAGGAATTTCTTCTGATTTTGCATCTCTTAGTGAAGTAGGAAGCAACATTATTAGCTGAGAGTGAGGTGGATAGGAGGTGGTGTAAGTTTAAAGTAGAAGAAGGTATAAGACGGTTGGCTAGGATAATGAGACAGTGAATGGGTTTGGAGTATGTAGCATTAAAGCCTTTTAGGTTAATAGGCACAAATTTCAAAGTATAACTAGTCAGTGTGGTTAGTCCTTCCCTTCCTCTCTCCTTTTATCTTACTCCTCCTTTCTCCCTCCCTTCCTTCTCTTTCTTCTGTTTCTCTCTTCTTTTTCTTTCTCTCTCTCTCCCCCTCTCTTCCATTCTTTTTTTCCCCTTTGTTCAGCAGCATTGCAAAGGGTTGGTGAAGAGTTGAATATAAAAGAAGGGTTGAAATTTGGCAAAGAAAGAGGGCAAGGGCAGTGGGACTGTTTGTAAGGAGTGATTATAATGGTGGCTTATAGAAGCCCAGCTGTGTGAAGATAGAAGTGAAGAGGAGTGGGGTGAGGGATAGTAATCATGTATCAGGATCAACAGATTGAAGTCTCTGGTGCCAAACAATTGCTGGACTTGGTATGCTGGATGTTGGGTCCGTGTAATTGACCTCCAAATAACCGGGAGATGCGTGGATGCAAAAGCAAGAGCGTTTATTGGGTAGCCAGCATGCTGGGGTCTTGCACTCGCAGGTGGAGACCCCAAAGTATAAGTTCATTCTCCTTTTATACACAGGAAAGGGCTCGTGTGCAGAATGGGCCATGCGTAGAGTGGGCCTAGATATGACCTGACCTTTACTGAATTTTGACTGCTGGGTGGGCGAGTTATCTTCTTTCTATTGGCTGGGAGCATCTGGCCAGTTTTGGTAACTGTGTTGGTTAAATTTTTGTAACTCCTGTAACTTCCTCTTGATATGACCTGTCTCTTATAAAATAAAGTCACTTATAAAATGGAGTAGCTTATGTCAAGACTTTTTAGTCAGGACTCCTCATTCCCCCCTTGAGTTTTGTTCTATTTCAAATCTTTGAAGTAACGGAATAGGGTCTTCTTTACTCAAGGGCTTGTACTGAGATCTAAGGACCATGAGTTGGACGGTGGAGATCCATTTCTATACAAATTTGAGGAGGGCATTGATAAAGCAGGGGCCACATGTAAGAGCTAGTATGAGAAGTAAGAGGTGACCTGCTACTGCTAATAATAAAGTTGTTAGCCATGGGGACCAACTGAAAAGGCTTTCATACCAGTTTTGGGTGACTGCTCTATTTCTCTGCCTGTTTTGAATCTTAGTTTTTTTTTAGTTCAGTCAAAGAATTTTGAATTACACTTGAGTGGTTAGTATAGAAGGCACACTGTTCTCCTAAGGCCACACATAGTCCTCTTTGTTGCAAGAGCAATAAGTCAAGTCCCCTTCTGTTTTGTAGTACAACTTCAGCTAGGGAGGATAAAGACTCTTCTAGCCTGGCTAGAGTAAGGTCTACTGTTTGGAAATCATGGTCGATAGTATCATTGAGGGCTTTATAATTTTTATCTTGGAGGACTAGAGATGCTATGCCTGTACCAGCACCAGCCAGCCCGGCTCCCAAAATGGCAGAGACTACTATGGTGGAAATAATTTCTCGTTTTTGCCTGCTTAGATTCTTTTGACTTAGGGAATAGCTATCAATTATTTCTTCTTCACCATGCATTACTATCCGGGGAAGAGTTGCACAAGAATGCAGACATCGTCATGAGTTCTAAGGGTGTCAGCATGGATACAAGTGGTTATTCCCATTTTACAGGCTCACCAATTGTTGGGAGAGGCTACTAGTATGATTGTATCTTGGAAATAACATTAAGGGTCTAGCTACATAAGTGAGGGTAAGGAAGCTGTCGATTGGTGGCAACACAAAGTCCTTGCCCTGTGAGGGCCTATAGGGTAACTCTAGGAGCACGTTCAAAACTTCTTTGGGACCACCAGCATTTGGAGGAGTCGGTCTCAGTACAGAAATTAGCTACTAGAGCAATGCCATCATAGAAAGGGGGTTTGGAGTCTAGGCAAAGCCAGCAGAATCGGGTTACTTCTGGCTTTGAGATATTTAATAACTGATAAGTGGCTTCTACTAGGCAAAAGGGACTGGGTCCAGTTAGGGATGGGGAGGGGGTTAAGTGGCATAGCTTTGAATCTGACCCAGGATCTGTCCTAGGCAAAGGGTAGGTAGGTCTCACAGTAGATTTCTGAGGTTTCTCGGGGAGTGGGGGAGGAGGAGGCACTGGGTTTGGTCTCCAAATGACTGGTAGTTTATTCAAGAGTGGGGCCTCCTGGAGCATAATCGTAAAAAGAGCTCCGGGGTCTGCTCCCTTTGCATAAAAGCGAAGGCCCCACATTCTCCCTGACTTCCATTCTTCCACTTAGTTTTTCCTATGGAGGTGAAGCAAATGCAGATTGGGTTACAGTCTGGGTTACTCCAGCAGGAAGGCCCCTCAGACTGGCTAACTTGTATCCAATCATCTTGTACAGTGGATCCCCAATCTATCTTACCTGTAGGTTCACAGCCCCAGACGGTACAGAAGAAGTGTTCTGGGCCCCCACATACAGCCTGCTGAGACTGATTTCGGCTCTGTCCGGGACAGACATAGAAATTGTGTTGACGTGTCAGGCCTCGGTACCCTGGGGTCCTACACCCTATCCCTTGGGTTGGGCGTGGGTACTTGGGGTCCCCTCTTAAGCCCCAGTTTGTCTCAAACAACTTACAAACATCAAAGTACAGATCGGGGAACCATGACTTAGGGTGTCTTTCTTGTTCTGTAGAGTTGATAATGTCTCCAGTCTCCGACTTGACGATGATCCATTCAAGTTTCCTTGGGAAGTGGGGACTTCCGGTCACCATTAGTTCCAGGGCTAAGGCTTGGAGGACCAGAAGCAGCCACATGTCTGGGAATTTTTGCTCTCAGAAGGTCAGTCGAATGGGCTCGAATTGTCCATGTAGACTCTTGATCTCTAGCAGTGGCCTTGACCTGAGTGTTACGGATCCACGTTGCTATCCGGTCAACTTTGATCGCCGTGGGAGTTGCTAGGATGATTGTGTGAGGTCTTTTCCAGCGTGGCTCTAAGGTCTCTTTTTGATACGTTTTGATTAGTACCAAGTCTCCAGGTTGGAAATTGTGGGGCTCCGGGGGAGGCTTGGAGTACACCACCTGTAAGTTCTGATGTAAGGCTTCTTGGACCTGAAACAAAGCTTGTTGGGAGGAAAGAAAGTTTTTATCTTTTTGCTCAGCTAACAGATCAGCTCGCAAATTGGGAAGAATTGGGGGAGGCCTGCCAAGTAGAATTTCAAACAGGGTCATGCCTAGTCTATAGGGAGTGTTCCTGACTTTGAACAGAACGAAGGGGAGGAGAGTAACCCAGTCACTGCCAGTTTCTAGGGCTAATTTGGTTAAAGTCTCCTTCATGGTCCGATTCATCCTTTCTACTTGACCTGAGCTTTGGGGATGATATGCACAGTGTAACTTCTAATTAGTCCCCAATATATGGCTCAGCCCTCGTGTTACCTGAGAGATGAAAGCTGGTCTGTTGTCTGACCCAGTAAAAGCGGGAAGGCCATACCTTGGAATAATGTCTTCCAGGAATTTCTTGGCAACTACTACAGCAGTTTTTCTTTTGGTTGGAAAGGCTTCTACTCATCCAGAAAAGGTATCTACAAATACTAGCAAATACTTGTAACCATATTTTCCTGGTTTGACCTCGGTAAAGTCTATTTCCCAATAGGCTCCAGGTCTTGTACCTCTTTCTCAGACCCCCTTTTCGGTTGTTCCTCCCTTCACGTTGACCAACTGGCAAACTTTACACTGAGAGACTACCTGATTGACTAATAATTGGAGGCCATGGACCCAGAGATGGGAGCTCTGGAGTAGTTCTGTCATTTTATACTCTCTCAGGTGTGTGACCTGATGAATGTGTGAGACTAGTTGGGCAGCTAGGAGGGAGGATAGAATGTAGTCCCCTCTTGTGTCTCGATACCATTGTCCATCTTTATGAGCATAATGTGGTCCCCACTTCTGGATCTCAGAACTTTCTGAGTGTACTCTGGTACTTCCAGTAAGATTGGAGTAATAGCAGTTGGTGGGGGGGTTGGCTGCTACCAGGGCCTTGGGTGCCTCTGCTAGGGCAAGAGCTTCCTTGGCTGCCAAGTCTGCTTTATTATTTCCTCGGGCCACTTGCCCTTCACCTTTTTGGTGCCCGGGACAATGTATGATAGCAATCGCCTAGGGAAGCCAAATGGCCTGTAGCAAGTCAAGGATCTCTTGCTTGTTTTTGATAGTTTTTCCCTCAGCTGTTAATAGTCCTCTTTCTTTGTAAATGGGCCTGTGTATGTGGGCTGTGGCAAAGGCATACCTGCTGTCAGTATGTATGTTTAGCCGCTTACTTTTTGCCAATTGAAGAGCTTTGGTGAGGGCTGTCAGTTCTGCTTTCTGAGCTGATGTTCCTGCGGATAGGGGGGGGATGCCTTTATGACTGCCGTCTCTGTAGTCACTGCTGCTCCTGCATATTTTACCCCGTCTTTGATGAAGCTGCTTCCGTCCGTGAACCAGGTAGTTTCAGGATCCAACAAGGGAACATCTCCCAGATAGGGCAGTGTTCCCTGTAGGTGGCTGAGGAGCTCCTTGCACTTGTGCGAGGGTGAATCTAGATTTGGATCCAGTAGCAAGGTGGCTGGATTCAGTGCTTTGCTAGCAGCAAAGTGGATATGAGGCAGATTAAGGAGCAGAGCTTGATAGTGGGTGACATGTGAATTTGACAGCCATCAGTCGGGAGGGCATTTTAAAACTCCGTCGATAGCGTGGGGTGTCGTGACAACAAGAGTTTGGCCTAGCGTCAACTTGTCTGCATCTTTAACAAGAAGTGCAGTGGCAGCTATGACGCGGAGACATGGTGGCCATCCGCTGGCCACTGGGTCTAATTTCTTTGATAGATAAGCCACTGGTCTCACCCAGGGGTCCAGCTTCTGGGTGAGAACTCCTTTTGCCACTCCCCTCCATTCATCTACATACAGGAGGAAGGGCTTGGAAACATCTGGGAGGGCTAGGGCTGGGGCCTGCAGGAGAGCCTGTCTGATTTTGATAAAAGCCTCTTCCATCTCAGGCATCAATGCAAAGGAAGGTTCCTGTCCTCGGGTGGTCTCATACAAGGGTTTAGCTAGTTTGGTGAAGCCAGGAATCCAGAGGTGGCAGAACCCTGCGGTCCCCAAGAACTCTGATAGTCCGTCTACAGTCTGGCCTTGGTAGCTGGAAAATAAGTCTCTTTTCTGGCCTGTGATAGCCATTGGTGTTCCCCCTTGAGTTTGTATCCCAAGTAGGTGACTTCTTCTAAACAGAGTTAAGCTTTTTTAGCAGACCCTCGGTACCCTTGTTTTCCCAGTGTTACAAGTAAATCTTTAGTGGCTACCTGACATTCTGTTTCTGTCCGGGCAGCTATGAGTAAATCATCTACATATTGAAGCAGGCTCACCTCTGGGTGGAAACACCGGTACTCATTCAGATTTTCGTGGAGGGCCTTGTCGAAGATGGTCGGTGAGTTCTTGAATCCCTGAGTCAACCTGGTCCACGTTAGTTGACCATTCAATCCGTCCTCCGGATCTCTCCATTCAAAAGCAAACAGCGGTTGACTTGAGGCAGCTAGCGGTAAGCTGAAGAAAGTGTCTTTTAGGTCTAGGACGGTGTATATGACCCTGTCAGGTGGCAGAGAGCTCAAAAGGGTGTAAGGGTTGGGGACTGTGGGGTAGATGTCCTCCACACAAGTCCTGTACTGGTCAGAAGTCATTTGTTCCTGGTTTCTTAACAGGCAGTAAAGGGGTGTTCCAAGGCGACTGGCATAGGACTAGACTTCCCACCTGTTGCAGGCATCGGATATGAAGGGCAATGCCCACCTTTGCCTCTTGGAGAAACGGGTACTGCCGCACACGGACAGGGTTGGCAGTGGCCTTTAGTTGGACTACTATCGGTACTCGATGCTTTGCCCATCTGATGCCTCCCGTCTCAGCCCATACTTCCGGGATCTCTTTTAGTCACTTATGAAGGAGCTCATGGTTATCTTTCTCTCTTATCGGGTTAGTGTAAAGTCTATGTTCATCATTAAGCGATAAGGTAAGAATGCTGATGGGGGCTCCGCTCTGGTCTTTTACTGAGACCAAGTCGCCCTCAAAGTGGATGTGGGTTCCCACCTTGGATAGTAAATCTCTCCCCAGAAGTGGGTAGGGGCACTCAGGGATAACCATGAATGAGTGGGATACCCATCCCAATTTTAGGTCTATGGATCTTCGGGTAGTCCATGAATATCGGTTAGATCCTGTGGCTCCCTGTACCCAGGACTGTCTGGGAGAAAGGGGCCCCATGGGGTTCTTAAGGATTGAATGTTCTGCTCCAGTGTCAACCACAAAACTCACTGGCTTCCCCTCCACATTCAGGGTTACCCAAGGCTCGGGGAGGGGTCTGAACCCCATCTCCCTCAGTTGTCTAAGCCTTCTATCTGGAGGACCATGGATTGTTCCCTGGCTTCTCTCTTGGGGCATTCATTTTTCCAGTGGCCTCTGTTTGCAGTAGGCACACTGGTCTTTTTGCAGTGGATTCCGGCCCTTGGGGGAGGCTTTGGGATCTCGAGGGCCCCGTTGTTCAGTCAGCCTTTTTTCTCGGTTCTGGGCAGGATCTTCTAACAAATTAGCCAACAAAATCTTAGCCAACCCTCGGGTCTGTCACTCTTCTGGGGTGTCTTGGTCATTGAACACTTTCTCAGCTACTGCCAAAAGCTTGGCTAGCCTTTTTCCCTCAAAACCTTCTAATCTTTGTAACTTCTGCCTGATGTCTGGGGCCGATTGATCAACAAAGGCCAAACTTACCGGGTACCGGTTTTCAGCAGCTTCTGGATCCAGGGGAGTATAGGTCTTGTAGGCTTCCAGCAGTCTCTCAAGGAAAGCTCCAGGAGATTCTGTGGGTTCCTGTTTTACCTGACTTACTTTAGACAAATTGGTGGGAAGGCGTGCCGCCGCTGGAGACCCCCCCATCAGAATCTGGCGGTAGATAGCCTCTCCTTACCTTCATCCGTATTGAAGTCCCAGCTGGGCCTACTCGAGGGGAATGTGATGTTTATAATATTTAAATCCATGGTTGGTCTCCCATCAACTCCTGGGACTATTTTCCGGGCTTCAGTCAGGACTCTCTCTCTCTCTTCAGTAGTAAAAAGAACCTGTAAAAGCTGATGGCAGTCATCCCAGGTGGGCTGGTGGGTGAAAAGGACTGAATCCAACAAGTCTACAAGTTTACTGGGTTTCTCAGAGAAGGGGGAGGTTCTGCATTTTCCAGTTATACAAGTCACTGGTAGAGGAAGGCCAATGAACTAAGAACTGTTGGCCATCGGGACCCGGTGGGCCTACTGCCCACAAAGGTAGGGCCACGGTGCCTGGGGTGTTCTTGGGAGCTCATCAGTCTCGAGAGCAAGTATGGGGAGGACTTATCAACATGAGTGGATCCTCCGGGTCAGGTTCCTCTTCTATAGGTAAAGGTTCAGGAGGATTGGGGAGTGGAGCAGGTCCATATGGCGGTGGGTAGGAAAAGGATGGATCTTCTGAAGGGGGGAGGACAGGATAAAGAGGTGGGACTGAAGGAACCAAGGGATTGCGATTCAACTTGCAGGGTGCCTTAGAGGAGTGTGGAGCTTTTGAGGAAGCAGTGGCCACGAGGGTCGCTTTTAAAGGCGGAAGAAGGGGAGCCAGCCATTTAGGTCGACTTTCCACTAGAGTCTGCCAAGTGGTGATGTAAGGAACCTGGTTGGGGTGCCCAGGGCATCCATATACAAGGTCTTTGACCCTGTAAATGGTGGGGAGGTCAAACATGCCCTCCTCAGGCCACCCGACTCTGAACTTAGGCCATTCATTCCTGCAAAAGGTAGAAAGTTTACCCTTTTT